AGTGGCGTTTATTTATATGTCAGATCTGCAAATTCCTTTATAAAATTGTGACTTTACCTCCAGTCCACAGTTCGGTGTAGGTCTTCCAAGTCTGCATTCCTTTGAATTCCTTTGAATTCAGGGCCATGCAGTAATGGAAAATAAATATGTGCTTACAATTAACCATCCGTGCTGTCTAGTCTATTTGATATCTTCATTTCCTTGGCCAAAGTAGCTAGCCTTTTATTTCTTATCTTCAGATTCTGATTTCGTATATTCAGCTATCTAATAATTTTAATAAGAAAATGGGTCATGGAAGATTAACAAGTTAAGCTTTTTGGCTGAGACTAATTCATCAAAATGCTGGCAGTGTGAAGACACCCACAGACACCTCAGAAGAAAGTTTGAGTATCTACATTCAAAAGGTCACAACGATTTAAAAACTCAGTTTTTAAGTGTTCTTTTAAGTTCTACCCTGAAAAAAAATATTAAAAAAAAAGTTCTATCCTGAAAAAAAAAATTGAAAAAATATAATTCTACCCATAAACTCAAGGGAGTTTATGTGTTGAAATCAACTTAGTGGTAACTAGCTTCTGCTTTAAACTCTAAAAAGTTTTTCATTTGAGGTTATTACTCAGTAAATTTGAATATATCCCTTCCACCCTCTGAAAAATCAACTAAAACTCTGTTTCTGCTCTTCTCTGAAATGTGCATGGAAATGATATTTTTAGGATAGCAACATAAGGGGAAAATCACACAATTGATACCTTTCCTTAAAACATCATGCAAGAAATTGATTTGTTACTAAACGATGCAGAGCAAACTATATTTGCACGTCTTGTGATTGGAAGAAACAGTTGCAGACTCAATTTTTCTCCTTTACATGCAAATGTTTCATCTGTAGCAAATGAATACAGCTTTTCATGTTTAACCCAAATTCCTTGTATATTATACAGTCAAATAGTTATATCCTATTAATTTGTATGTGTTAAAAGCATTTTTTCCCTAAGCTAAAAATGAGAGGCAGACCTCACTCGGGGATCGGGAAAGCCACATTTGATTCCTCAGCTACGTCACTTCTCATTATCATCAGGTCAGAAATGACCCTCAGAGCTGACTCTCAATTTGGTTTCTGAGATTGTAAATCATCTGAGAGGAACTGGCCCACCTTTCTTCATACTGCACACTGAACTCTTTTGCTGAGCGTGTCAGACAGAGTTCATAGTAATAAACGATAGATACATGGTTGTGTGTGTGTTCTAATATTTGCTAACAACTAGGTTACCTCTCAGAACGCCTTTCCAACATTATTTGCAAAATAAAGTTATTTTTCTTCTAATGTCCTCAAAGGCTCCAAATAGCTTGTAGTCAACATGAAACATGTTCTTATTTTAAACCTGTGACTGGCACTCAATTTGAAGGCCTGGGCTTTCACTCAAAAGATTTGTGGGCCCCAAATGCTGTTGCTGACATTTTAGATATATTTGGTAAATGTCAAAAACAAGCTAGTTAAGATATTAATATTCTAACTATATATATGCAGTCTATATATCTTAGTATTAGTGCAACAGAGATGTATTCAGTTACTTGCCAACTTAGAAAAAATTATATTGCTTAATTAGAGATAGAAACTTCATGCCTTAGATTGTGTTTTTATACCTCAAATAGAATATTGGTGATGCTTATTGCCTAATTACTTATTTTTTTAAATCTCAAATTCATGCATTTATTCTCTCAGCAAGTACATACTGAGCTTAAACTGAGTCAAACTGTACTCTGAACATTAGTATATCATTATAAAAAAAAGAAGCTGATAATTCAGTGAATAGATAAATAAAGTTAGATAAAGTGAATAGATAAAATGTTATTGCCATAGTTCTTAAAGAATGTTCATGAATTAGTGAGAGTGTAAAAAAATGTAAACAATTCTACATGGGGCTTTTTTTCTTCTCATAAACATTTTATCAATACTTTTAAAAGCATATGATTTGCTAAAATGCTTCTTCATTAGTTGTTATTTCATGCTGTCGACTCACAAATGACCCCTAGCTGACCTTGCAATGGGTTTTCAGAGGCTGTTGATCACAAGAGAGACACTTGTCTGCCATCTTTCTCACGCAGTGGACCCAAGCTAAGTGCCTTTGGGTTGATAACACAATTCCTTACCACAAGGCTTTGGGAAGGAATTTTTTAAGCGTAACCAGAATGCTCCTTATGGGCAAGAATGGTTGATCTTCTCACATACTTTGGGCATGTTGTAGGAGAGGCTATTCCAAGGAAAAGGGCCATTATGTTTGGAAGGGTGGAGGAGGGGTAAAAGAGAGGAAGACCCTCAATAAGATGGACTGATACAGTTGCTGTGGGAATGGGCTCACGCCTGTCAGTGATGACACGGACGGCACAGGATAGGACTGAGTTCAGGTCTGTAATTCATAGGCCCACTGTGGGTTGCACTGACTTGACAGCATCTAACCACAGCAGGCCACTAGAGCACCCTTCATCAGTGCTTCAGCCTCAAAGGAACCTACTAACTGCTGACTGCTGTTGTCATGTGCCCTCATTTTGCTAAAAAACAACGATGTCAGTCTAGAGACTAAGATGTGCCTAATCCAGGTGAAGGTTTTTGCAATTACCCTCTATGCATTAGAGAGCTGGACAATGACTAAAAATGATAGAAGAATTGATGGCTTTGAGTTGTGGTGCTGGAGAAGAGTCTTGGACATACCATGGACCGCCAAGAAAACAAATAGGTCTGTCTTGGAGAGCGTGAAAACAAGTTTCTCCTTGGAAGCTAGGATTTTGAAGCTCCATCTCACATACTTTAGGCATGTGGCCAGGAGAGCCTGGTCCTTGGAGAAGAGTTTCATGCTTGGAAGGGTGGAGGGACAGTGCAAGAGAGGAAGACTCCGGATAAGATGGGTTGATACAGTGACTGGAGCAATGGGGATTGGTGTGTCAGAATTAATGAGACTGGCTCAGGACAAGGAGAGGTTCAGAGACGCTATGAATTGCAGGTGACTTGATGACACATAACAATAACTACAACAACAGTCCAAAATAACCCCAACAAACACAGGGAATGAATCCGAGTTGCATAGCATCAACTCAGGGTCCCAACACATCTCAAGTCAACATTTCTAGCTAGTCCTTCTGTATCACATAGCTGACTTTTTCTGGGTACCATATCATTCTTGATGATCAATGTTAGTTTCTGCAACCATAATGAAAATGTTCCTTTCTCGCTTCAACTCAACTTCTGCTGTGGTAAAACTGGAAACCCTCAATTCTGTTGGTTCAACTTCGTTAATGAACATAGAGTTAATCAACATAGAGTTAATTCTCAAGAAAATGAAACGGCATTTAGTAAAATTTAAAAATTTTGTTTAATAAAATTTAGTTGCTTTTAGAAAGGAAAGAAATTAAATATCGGTTAAAGAATTTCTTTTCTACAAGTTTTAAAACTCAGTAGACAGGAGAGATGGTTGTTCATTATTCTAGACTTTGTCTATGCTGCAAAATTCTCTTTTCTGGAATTATTCAGTGAGTTGTTTGACCAATGTGTAGGTAATTAAACCTATAAAGAGTTCAATTCTATCATGAAGCATTGCGCTTTAGAAGATGCTGTAAGAATCCTCTGTGGAAAATGTGATCGAGAGGAATTTCCCCCTGACATGACTGTACACCATTTTTTTTAACATTATCATAAAAGAACAACTGAATTCAACTTATTGATACTTTCCCCATTGGCTTCCTTCTCCCTATTTTTAAAAAAATGTGAACACTTTAGTTAAAATCATTAGTTGCCTAGAACCTTCTATCTCCAATGAATTTAATTTTTCAAAAACAAACCCAAAGACATAATGTTACATATGTTTTCAGTAGTATGCACATAAAAAAATGTGACTTGACTTATGACAAAAGAGAAATAGTCACCTCACTGGTAAGTTTGCGGGGCTCTGAATGAGACCGCCTGGGCAGCAAACCACAACACAAGATTGTTGGGGCAAATGAAAACAGCTGTAGCTAAAAACATGATGTAAAAGAACCAGGTGATAGGACGTGAGGTGGACCTTGCTGGCTGCGGGAGGGTGTCAAGGTGGCTCAGAGGCTGCATCCCAAAAAGTTTCCTCCATCAGAACTACCACTGAACAAGAAGAGAGGCTTTCAGGAGATGGAATTCTAGGTGCGGCATCATTCCAACGCGGACTTCAGGAGTGGAAAGTAAAAACGAGGGAGCTCTTGGTCAGGAATTTTTCTGCTGACCCAAAGGTGAGTGTCACTCAGGTGGTTTAAATCCAAACAGCAGAGGGGGAGACAGATGGACAATCCCCTCCCATGCAGTTTACAGCCTCCAGAAACCCACTGGAGGGCCAGCTTTGTCTTTGTTCAGATTCGATGGCAATGGGTGAGTGGATTCAAAATGATACAAAACTTGACAATCTCTCGAGTCTCACGTCAGTAGAAAACTAGATCTATCAATGGCTCCTTTAAAAACAGAATTGGGTTCAGATTATGCATATTAACCAAGGTGGTTTATTTCAACACTGATTATTAGAAATAAAATAAAAATATACAGTAGTGTACTTTCCCCGAGGTTTGCTCAAAACAAATGGGCTTTCAACATAGGGTTTTATCTTCAGGATCATCGTTTACATAGTAGGCTTTAGTCTCAAGTCAACCTTTGGCAACCCCCAAAATAGATACACCATGACTTCCCACAGTGAACTTATAGATTTGAAACATCAGAGCATCCAAGGGCTGAAAGGAAAAAGGTCACCTATCAGAACAGTTGATACACATGTTTCTCCCTCTGCAAAGTCATCCATCATTGGTCTCCCAAGAAACCATACATGAATTGTCTCAAACTTTTAAATGGGGGTAAAAAGATGACTCTCAGAGAATTCAAAGATCTGGTGTTTTCTACCATTCCTGATCTTACAGTTTCAGTACTAACAGCTAAAAGAGAAAGAGAGAAACAGACAGAGTGGCCGTGTGATATGTTAACACCTCGCAGCTGGAATTTACAAGGGAACGTGGCTGAACAGGTAAGACACAGATTCACCGTTATGAGTCCTCCGGATGGCCTCCGCCAAGATCATGGAAATGTCAAGGACCTGAATCTTGGAGCACTGTTTCATCCTGTCCTCCTGTGGAATTGTGTTCGTGGCCACCACAGCCTCGAAGGGAGCAGCGTTAATTCTGTCGATGGCTGGCCCCGAGAAGACGCCATGAGTCACGATGGCATAGACCTTGGTGGCTCCTGCAGAGACCAGCTGGTCTGCCGCGTGGCAGATGGTACCACAGGTGTCAGCCATGTCATCCACCAGGATGGCCACGCGGCCCTTCACGTCCCCCACCAGGACCATCCGGTCCCCCTGCCCCACCTTCCTGTCCTTGTGAATCAGTGCAAATTCCACGTTCAGCCTGTCTGCGATGGATGTCACCCGCCTGGCGCCACCCGCGTCCGGGGACACAATAATGCAGCTTCTCCACTCGGGGACGTTCTCCCGGATCCACTGCAGGATGGCGGGCTCTGCGAACAGGTTGTCCAGCGGGATGTCGAAGAAGCCCTGAATCTGCGAAGCATGCAGGTCCATGGTGATGATGTGATCAGCGCCGGCCACCGAGAGCATGTTGGCCACAAGCTTGGCCGTGATGGGAGCACGGCCATCGCCCGTCTTGTCCTTTCTGTCTTGGCAGGCGTAGGGGAAGCAGGGGATGACAGCCGTCACCCGGCAGGAAGAGGCGATTTTACAGGCGTTGATCATGATAAGAAGCTCCATCAGGTTGTCATTGATGTCCCCACAGCCACTCTGGATGATGTAGACGTCCTCCCCTCTCACACTCTGGCCAATCTCCACGCTGGTCTCCTGGTTGCTGAACTTCTTGGCGACCACCTTGCCCAGCTCCAGGCCCAGCCGGTCAGCCACACGCTGGGACAGGCCCTGGTGAGAGGAGCCGCTGAAGAGCACAATGTTGGGCATGGCTGGGCCTTCCGCGCTCTGGGTGGCAATGATGGCGGTGACCGTGACCTGGTGGACGAGCTCCAAAGAGTGAATCGTTAACTACTGCCATAAATATGAAATCGAGGATCATAAAAAAAAAAAAGCTGATAAAGGAGAAGTAGGCGTAGCCTTTCTTAGTTCTCACAGAATGCTGAATTCTACAAAATGGCTTTGGTTTTTGGAAGCTAACCGTGTTGATCTGCAGAGTATGGTGTTGAAACGTTCAGTAATTGAGTTCTTCTGGTCTCTAGGCAAAGCAGGTAGTCATTCGTGGAGGCAACTGGTTTTTCTGGCAAAAGAAACAGGTGTTCAAATTCATTTCTTCCTCCCAGTCTGTACGATTTCTTCCTCTGTTGCTCCAGATGAAAAGAGATAATCATTGTACCTTGGCTAGCTGTTAGCTCTTCAGAGGGCAGGCTTTATGAAACGGACTGGGAGGTAGAACAGAGCACTAAACATGATATTAAGTCAGTTAATGGCCCTGTGAAATCCTAAACCCTCAGCCAAGAAACCAGATCCCATGAGGTATTTGTTGTACACGCACAGTCTTAGTTATCTCAAAACTCAAAGCCTTTTTAAAAGAGATCTTTATAGAAATACAGATGACAGGACACAGCTTCTATTTCCTTTAAAATAAACTCAAAGTTGTTGTCATTAAGTGATAACCTTGATGTCTCTAGACTCATAGATGACTCTTAGTTGACTTTCCAGCAGGTTTTCAGAGACTGTAAATCACCTGGGAGGAAATTGCCTGTATTTTTATTCTGAGGAGCAGCTAGTGGATTTGAACCCCCAGAGAAGCGTCCTTTAGGTGAACAGTGCAACTCCCTACAGACTATGCCAGCAGAGTTCTCAGAGCTTTGTTATCTAGAGCTGCTGAGAGACATGTCACTAGTGGGTGATTTCAACAAACACAATTTTCTTTCCTTCAAGTTTGGGAGGCTGGGAGTCTGAATTCAGAGTGCTGATTCTGGAGGAGAGATGGCTTTTTGGCTCTGCAGGAAGGTCTTGGTCTCTTTCACTTCTATTTTCCAGTTTCTTAGAGATATCTATGCTCTCCCCCTTCTGCTCACTTAGCGGTTTAATCTCTTCTATTTCAAAATAGATTGGCTCAATACACACTCCACGCTAATCCTGCCTCATTATCATACAATGGCTCAATACACACTCCACGCTAATCCTGCCTCATTATCACGGCAAAGAAAACCCATTGTCAAATAGGATGGCATTGTTGTTGTTCTGTTGTTATTTGCCATTGAGTTGCAATAAAGTCATAGCTGACCCTCAGAGCTGGTTGTCAGAGCCTGTTGGTTTCATGGGAGGAGACTGTCATCTTTCTCTCAAGAAGCAGCAGGTGGATTTGAACCACGTGGGACAAGCATAGAGTTTGTTATAGATGTTATTATTTACAACACTTACTTTGGGGCAGGGGGCTGGGGAGGGGGCACAAACCTAGGACACCATAATATATTCTCAGTAACTCCCTCTCTTTCTCACACATACATTTTCTACTTCATGCATGTGTATCATTTAACCAACTGTGTCATTTCCCCATCACCATGAATTAAAACTCAGTGTTTGATAACCAGTAAACCATGGTCACAACATGGAATGCTTTTTATATGATCATACTAGTCGTTTCCTTACTTCTTTCTCTTTTAATATAAAAGATATCTTGCATATAAAACTGTGTAACTTTTTTGGCTCCTTAATTTGGAAACAGCCATTTCTTTAGAGAACTTACGTTTTCCTTTAGAAACTAAGACCTAGATTCTGGTTATTTTGTACCATCAATTTGGAAGCGATGCATAGCAGACTCAAGTGGATTTTCAGAGGCTGTAAATCCCACAGGAGAAGATTGCCCTTCTTTGTCTCTGGGAGCAGCTGGTGGCTTCAAACTGTGTGCCTTTGGCTTGGAAGAGCAACTCTTTACTCAATATAAATAATTAGAGCGCTCTGGTGACCCAGTGGCTAAGGAGCTGTGCTGCCAACCCAAAGGCACGCAGTTTGAATCCACCTGCTGCTCCAAGGGAAAAAGGTAGACAGTCTCCTCTTCTGTGATTTACAGCCTCTGAGAACTCAATGGAGGGTCAGCTAAGAGTAGGTGTCAGCCTGATAGCAACGAGTTAATGTTTAAACATATAATTGTTCTTGAACATACAAGAGCTAAAGGAAAAGGAAGAAATTATGAAGCTAGAGAGTTGAGCAGAAGATTTCACAGGGCAGCAGCTCAGGAAGACAAGGAAAAGTATTATAATGATGTATAAACATGAGTGGAGTCAGAAAATCAGAAGGGAAGAATATACATGTGATCTGTTAGGGTTCTCTGGGCAAAATATTGAGTGAGACGGAAGAGAATGTGGAAGGATTGTCTCAAAAATAATACACTGACATTGAAACGTTTGAAAAAGTAGCAAAAGCCCATGGTATTAAAGGAAAATGTCCAACCTACATTGAAGACATTGGCAAAAAAAATAAGGCACCAAGAATTGATGGGGTAGCAGTTTAGATGTTCCAACAAGTGGATGCATCTCTGGAAATGTTCATTCATCTATGACAAGAAATTTGGACAGCACCTACCCAGCTAACTGGCTAGAAGATACTCATATTTGTTCTCATTTCAAAAGAAGGTGATCAACAAGGTTATCCTTAATAGTACATGCAAGTACAATTTATTGAAAATTATTTAAAAATAGATGGTACATCAACAAGGCACTACCAGAAATTCAAGCTGGATTCAGAAGAGGTTGTAGAATGAGAGATAATCATTGCTGATGTCAGATGGGTCTTGATGGAAAGCAGAGAATATCAGAAACATGTTTATTTGTGGTTTTGTCTATGCAAAGGCAATTTGACTGTGAGGATCATAATACATTATGAATAATATTGAGAAGAAGGAGAATCCTTGAACACTTAAATGTGCTCATTCAGAATCTGCATATGAAGCAAGAAGCAATTTTGGTTCTTTGTGCCAACAGAGCATAGGGCTTTGGCATGGTTTATAATAAAATGTGTGCATCAAGTGTAACATTTCCCTGTTTCTATTCAGTCTGTGTGTTCAACAAATAACTAGAGAAGCTAGACTATGTGAAGAGGAATGTGACTTCAGGATTGGAGGAAGATTCATCAACAACCTTTGACATACAAATGACACAACATTGCTTAAAGCCCTCACTGAAGAAAATGAAAGACTACAGCCTTCAGTATGGATTACATCTCAATATCAAGAAAAGAAAAATCTTCACCACTGGACCAATAGGTAACATCATGATAGATGGAGAAAAGACTGAAATTGTTAAAGTGTTTGTTCTGCTTGGATCCACAATCAACATCCGTGGGATT